CCACAACACTCCTCATGGCCTGCCAGGCTCTTTTTGGTTTGCCTCCCACTCCTGCCCACAAGCTCTCTCTCTCTCATGAGACTCCAGAGCCTTTAAATCTGCCCTGCTCTTTTGGCTGCCTCTCTCATTAACTCACCCTTAGCTAACGATCGTTACTTCTCTTTCCATTCTGATACCCTGGGCTTTCATTCTTGGGGATCAGCACACAATCCAGAACCATATTCAGCTATCATACTTTTGTTTTGTTTTTCAAGACATGGTTTCTCTGTTTTGCTTTGGAGCCTGTCCTGGAACTAGCTCTTGAAGACCAGGCTGGCATCGAACTCACAGAGATCCACCTGCCTCTGCCTCCCGAGTGCTGGGATTAAAGGCATGCACTACCACAGCCCAGCCTTCATACTATTAAGGAGGAAATCTACACTTATTAAGCATCTACTGTATGTGAGGACCCATGCCAAACACTTCATAGTTGTTATTTCTGTTGACCTTCAAAAGCTCAAAAGAGTCCCATGGTGTAGATATTGTTACTGCCTGTATTGTGCACTGAAGTTACAACACAGACTAGTGACAAAGAATACAGTCCAGGAATTGACACTAAGTCCCACGCTCTTCATCATTGGGGTCTAACAAGTATAGGTCACTTACTCATTTAAAGGTGGCATGCACACGGACCCGATCATTCCAACAGCAATGGTAGTATGAATACAATATAACAGAAAGAGAATGACATACCAAAAACATACACTTGTCAACTATTGAATTATTATATTGCTTAGTTATGTTATCTACGATATTATTTATATAGAATTTTGTTAGAAGTTCTTTTTGGGTAAAAAAAAAAAATCAGCAATGGCCAAACCAAATCCTAATGATTCTGAGAGAGTGAACAATGTTTCCATTCCAGGAGCTGCATATAACCGGCCAACAGATGGCGCTAGTTTCTAGGATGACCTCTCTGGAAAGACAGTGAAAGAACCCACCAAACTCAAGCCAGTCAGGAATGGCTGCAAGCTAGCAGGAGAAAGTCACAGTCACATATAGAAGAGTATTCCGATTTTCTGGGCATTTAAGAAACGTGGAGGCAACCTTTTTTCTCGCCCGGGACTCACAGTATTGGGCGATGATTGCTTCTTGCCTCTCTGGCTCACAAGCTCCTTGAACTTGTGATGTGCTTGGACCAATCCATCTGTGCACCCACTGTCTCCAAGGAACTGCACAGTTCACAGGAGACACTTGAAATGGCCACAGTGAGGAAAGAGTCACAGCACAGAAGAGATGTAAACCCAGATTACAGAAGGTGACGGAGCTCACTCCTGGGGATGGGCCACCGGCTTTCTAGAAAGGACAATCGAGTGAAAGATGAGCCTGGGCCTGTTCTGGGCATCCAAGCTTTGCTAAAGTTTGGAGACCTGAGGGAGAGAGGGTGAGTGAGGTGGCGTTTAGGGTGTAGGAGTGGGGTGATGGAGGAAATAAGCCACGTGCAAGAGGCAGCCGTCACCAGTTTGCCTACTCCAGCCTCCCCAGAGACTACCGGTCCTCAGGAACCCAGTCACACCAAGAGTTAGCTCAGAGGTCCCAGGTCTTCACCACAGCCCCTTCCTCATTCAGTCCCGCAGTACTCTTAGATGTCTGCTGGCTCAGACCGATTTAAGCTTGTGAAGGCTGCATGCTAGAGCTGGTGATGGCAACGGTGAAGCTCAGAGGGGCAGGCTTTGGGTTGAGGGAGGATGGAAGCTGGCAGCGATTCAGGAGGTACAGGAATCTGGAGTCAGAATGCTGAGGAGGAAGAGGAATAGGAAGAGGAGGAAGGTACACCTCACATAGTGGGGCTTTCTGGCCCATCTGTGATATAGGACAGTGATAGTTACTGACCACTCAGCCATATTCAAAAGTCCCATGCAGATATCAAGACAGGAAAGGTTATGTTTTACACGCCCAAGAGATGAACACATTTGTGCTTACGTAAAACAAACAAATAAATGTGGTGGTGTGTCCTGAGGAGAAGTTGGAATCAAACACTCTTGTTTAATTCTCCAAGTTAATTTCTCGTTCTTTCCTGATGTGTGTGTGTGTGTTGGTGTGTGTGTGTGTGTGTGTGTGTGTGTGTGTGTGTGTGTGTGTGTTGGGGGTGTGGATGTGTGGTACGTGCTTGTCGCAGCGCACATGGCACGGCACGCCTATGGAGTTTAGGAGGACAACCTTGTGGAGTCAGCTCTCTTTCCATCTTTACGTGGACATAATGCAGGCTGTGAGAGCTGGGTGGTGAGGGCCTCCAGTGCTCAGTGGACCGTTTCCTTGCCTCCCTGGATTAGTAGTACCTCCCACACTAAATGGAGAGATCAAAAGAGCCAACGTGAGCCCACAGCTGGAACACTGCCGTGTAACTTTCGGAGGAAACGCTGTGCTTTCCAGAGAGTGACTGACTGGAGAGCCCAGGCCTCAGAACCATGGGGTGTGGCTGCACAGTGGTGGATGAGAGCGTGGTTTCCTGAGCCCCACCCAGCTCTAGCTTCTCAGTTCAGTCGAGGAGGACCAAGAAGCCCCATTTTAACAGAGCCCCGGGTCATTCTTGTGCCGACTGAAGTTTAAGGACTACTGTCGAGACTCATGCTGGAGAAGAGGGGGGAATTTACTGTACTGCAAAGCTGGGTGTGGCGGCTTTGAATGATTGACAGGGGGACATTCATTTAAGATTTTGACTTCTGTAAATAGGACAGGGTGGCTTGCAATGAAAAAATAAATATTTGTTAGGAAAAAAGAACACAGCCTGGTCTGATGGATTGCATACAATAGCCTACACCCGAGAGAATTTGCAGTGATTGGCACGGGGACCTCATGGTGAGTCACAGCATTCCCAGCCTTCCCAGTCCCGGACAAAAGCCAAGAAAAGAGAAACGTTCTGGGATGTTCAGGGTGGCAGTGATTCCCCGTTCCTGGGGTCCTCTCTCCACTACAGGCACCGGGCATTCCTGCAGCAGATCGACATTTTGTTAGGACCCTTAGTCTCAGAAGGAGGGGCTGGTTCAGAGCCAGAGAAAAAGAGAAAGACTGAGAACAGATGAGAAGGAAGCGTGACTAGGCCAGGACAGATCTGCGCTCACCTCGGAGGACCTAGGAGGTCTAACTGGAAAGGGAATGGAAGGAAGAAGGACAGCGGGGGATACAACAGGGGTAGACACAGGAACGGAGGATGGAGCGAAAGAACAGTCACAGAACAGAGGGTAGCAGAACAAAGAGCACCCGCAGAGCCAAATAGTCCCCGAGTTTCTGGGGGAAACAAGAAACCCCCAAAGAACTGTAGAAGACACAGGATCAACCTGAAAACTATGTAGCAGAATGAAAAGGACAGAAAGAAAAAAAAGCTCCATCCGGAAGGCTGAGGTGCAAACAAAATGAAATAAAAAAAGACCAGGTAAGAAAGCAAGGTACCATCTTCAGAGCAGGACTAGAGTTCTCACTGGCAGAAGGAAAAGTGGGCAGAAACATAAGGAAATGGAAAGTCGGACAAATGGGAAAGGAAGAAACCTTTGCAGGTGGCATGATTACCTACCCGGACATTTCCCAAGAATTCCAAAGAAAGAAAAATTTCGTAGAAATAATAAATAAGTTCAAGGTTATAAGCTACAAGAAAAACATAAAAATACACTGATATATTCCATACTAGCGAGAACACAGATGTAAAAAATGAAAATAACCACCACAGTGTGAAAAATTCAAATATTTAGTCTGGCATGTTTTGATTCGGCTTGATTGGGAATTTTGCGTTGGCAGGGAGCTCACGTTAGGAAATATTCCTAACAAATACATGTGTTTTTAAAGTAGTATTTGGGTTCAAAGTGTAGCACAATGGTTCAGTGTGCATTTGTAAGGACCCAGGTTCAATCCCCAGACATTTCGTATTTCGTGGTATCCTCCTTCCGTCAAGGCCCTTTTTTTGGTGAGAGGGCAAGATGACAGAGAAATGGCACTCTAACATTTGAGAGTTTCAGGAAGCTTAGTTGGACACCAGTCTTACATATGGCTTCATCTGAAGCACGATTAATAAAAACTCAGAAACAGAAACTGGGATTCAACCTGAAGGTCAGAAGAGCAAAACAGCCAGTCACTAGCTCTTACCTCTACCTCAGTCCAAAACGGCGATCCTACCTCCAGGAATCTCAGAATGAGACTGTGTGAGAGCAGTCTCCTGTTTTATAATCTTCTCTAGTTCTGGGATTAAGGGTGTGCACCACTGCCTTCCGGTTTCTATGGCAAACTAGTGTAGCTACTAAAGGTGTGTGCCATTGTGGCTACTAGGATTAAAGGTGTGTGCCATTGCTGCCTGGTCTCTAAGTCTGGCCAGTGTGGCTCTTTTACTTTTTTGATCCTTGGGCAAGCTTTAATTATTAAAATACAAATAAAATAGCATTACATTCATCTCCTATGCTGCTGTCTGCTAGAATGTGTTTTTTTGTTGTTGTTGTTGTTTGTTTGTTTGGGTTTTTTTTGCTACCTCCCTGTCCAAGGCACCGATGCATCCTCCTGAACTTTAGGGTCAATGGTACCTCCATCCTCAGACACTTCCCCTTGTTTTTCCTCACTATGGGCTTCAGGAACCCTCCAGATGCCAGCGGGCACCTGCACCATGCCAGTCCAGGGGCAGGAGGCCTCCAGGCCTCAGGACTCCTTCACTCAAAAATGTGTCCCTGACAGTTTTGTTTGACAACTGCAGAAGGGCTCAAGGCTCCATACCAGGTGTCCACTGAGTGTTTGAGCACCCTTGGCTCCTTTTGGATTCTCTGCGGCCCAATTTTGTCTTCTCAAGGGCAGAAAGGGGCTTGTGGCCATAGATGTGTTTTTCCAGATCTTTCCCGTTAGCTCCCTGCTCAGATTCTCAGCATTTTGCTGACTCATCAGAGGTCCGAGTAGCAGAATGCGCAAAGGGTGCTGGCCCTGGTGCTTGGGATGGCTTCTACTGTCACTCTTCCCTTAACTCACTTCCTCTACCTGTTTGTCTCCAGCTCGTGGCCCAGGTTCTGGAACATAAAAACATAGGCTTTGTGATGGTGGATGCCAAGAAAGAAGCCAAGCTTGCCAAGAGGCTGGGTAAGTTTGTTATTTGAAATCCCTTAGGAAGAAACAAATGTGTCTGGAAAACAAAATAAGGCAGTTATATCTATCTTGCATGGTAACTGGATTATTTCCAAACCCATAAAATGATAGCGCATATGCCATTCTGGGTCAGAGAAGAGCCTGATAAAAGTAAACCTAGGCCTTGATCTAATGGTTTGGCAGGAATCATTTAATTTATCTTTCTATCAGTATCAGGCAGAGAGAAAGTGATGTAAGGCTCTGGGGCATCTAGACAGCTCCCACGGCATCTAGAAGCCCAGCTACTGCATCTTCGTGCCTCAGTGGCTTCTCTGGGCCTCTCTGGGAACATTCCAGCAGCACTCAACACAGGATGCAATTACATCAGAGTCTCCAGAAGTCCCAAAGTTAAGGCTGAACCCCAGCTGCAAAATTTCAGCCTGGATAGATTTAGGTGAGGCACGGTTAAGCGACAAGGCAGAGGGAGCGGTAATCTCTCATGTCAATATGTCATGATCAAGTGCCCTTTAAGATCCCCATTCCATAATCCCAAGGAGAAAGGGCACAAGGAACCCCGCTGGTTTCCAAATACCACCCCCAACACTGTCCATTTAGCTTTTTCTGCATGACCAGTGGAGAATGGCTATTAAAAATAGCAGGAGGTTATGAAACAGACCCTTTGAAGAAAGGTTAATTGCATTTGGAGTAGTAAGCACAGAAGAACAAAAAAATCTTAGTGGTGGTTAAATAGATATCTTCAGGTACATGCAGGTTCATTATCCCAGGTACATGCAGGTTCATTATCCCAGGTACATGCAGGTTTATTATCCCAGATACATGCAGATGCATCATCCCAGGCACATGCAGGTGCATCATCCCAGGCACATGCAGGTGCATCATCTCAGGTACATGCAGGTTTATTATCCCAGATACATGCAGATGCATCATCCCAGGCACATGCAGGTGCATCATCCCAGGCACATGCAGGTGCATCATCTCAGGTACATGCAGGTGCATCATCCCAGGTACATGCAGGTGCATCATTCCAGGTACATACAGATGCTTTATCCCAGGTACATGCAGATGCATTATCCCAGGAACATGCAGATATATTGCTCCAGGAACATACAGGTTCATTATCTCAGGTCCATGCAGGTGCCTTATCCTGGGTCCATGAAGATGCATTATCCCAGGTACATGCAGATGCATTATCTTAGCAAATTACAAAACACTCTTTCCTGTTTTATTTCTTAGAAGAGCAGACATTTGTAAAGATAAGATTTATTTTAGAGAAGACTACTTAAGTTGACACAGGAAGAACTCATGCCCGTGACGACTTACTGAGAATGACTGACATATCGATTTCCTTGGAGATGTCTTAAAAATACCTTTTCTGTCCTGAGCATAGACGTAAAATACATTCAACTCTTCCTAGAGTCAAAACTATTTAATGAGTTCTACCTCTTTCCCTGGCAGCTCATTGATTGTTAGCCTTGCTCCCAACCTGCCACTGCTTTAGTGAGTGGGTGGTATTTGGAAGAATTTTTAGTAAAATTTTAAAAAGTGCTAGTGCCCTAGAAATATTCAGACCTAGGCAGCACAGGCTGAACGAGAATTCACAAGAACAGACTGGCCAAGGGCATGACGGTGCTTGGTCTATCTAAATATGTTTTTCTCTAGGGTCAATGGTGGGATGAAAGCAGCTGCAATGCAGGTGTTGGATGTTTGGGGTTTTCATGATATGGTTGTGTTCTGCAAACCAGCCCCTTTACCCTCACTCTCCTCTCCTGATTGCCTCACTTCGGTCATGGCTACAATGGGATATGAAGCCCTACTTGGCCTCACTCAAGACAAAATCCCAAACAAGATGCTGACTGATGCTTCCTGAGGAACATTTAAAGATCAGATGCTTTCAGAGTCAAGAATATTCTATGTATCCAATGCTGGGGTATGTCAGTAGCTCCTTAGATGGGGTTCAGAGCAGCAGGCTGTGGCCCAGCCCTCCTGCTCCCGAGGGTCCTTTGTAGTTCCTTAGGAGACAGCGTTTCCTGGATAAAAGAGTTGAAAATGACCGATCTGAAGAATTAATAATGTGGTGGATTTGCAATAATGTCAATCTTGGCTATTTAATATTCCGGAGGCGTGGAGGGTACAGCGTCCCCGCAAGGATTTGTTAAAGTACAGCACTTCGTACCAAGGGTACTGGGTCAAAGGTGAAGCTGCTGTTTGCCCTCCCAGCATCAACCAGGGGCCCGAGTAAAGAGTTGTCCACACACAGACGCCCAGCTCTGTGTGAGAGGCTGGCCCACCCAGCTCTGTGCGAGAGGCTGCGCCCTGGAGAAAAGCACACCCCTATTGGTAGAGACTGTCCTCCTAGAGTGAGCACCTTCAAGCCCCGAGAGCAACAGTAGAAGACCCAGGCAGCTGCAGAGACCTTAGATGAAAATGGGTTCTAAGCCAGAACCAGAAGAAGTGACCAAGATGGAGTCAGGGATGGAGGTCATTCTAGGTTTAGAGAAAAGGAAAAGAGATGTTAAGCCTGGCTCTGTGCCCCATGCTGGACACATCCTTTCCTAACACCATACGGTGCAGAAGTAACAAGAATGGGACCAGGAATAAGGAGCCCGGGTCTGGCCAAGGTGGGTGGAGCAGTAGGGCTGACATTAGGTGATCAAGGGGCTTGAAGCCAGGCTCCGGTGACAGGTTGTTGAAATAGGAGCGGCAGGGCTGCGTCCCCGGCACCCGGCCGCCTGCATGACTAGTTTATACCCAGAAATAATTACACGGAAACTGTATTCTTTCAAACACTGCCTGGCCCGGCTAGGTCCAGTTTCTTATTGGCTAGCTCTTACATATTGTTCTAACCCATTTCTAATATTCTGTGTAGCCCATGAGCTGGCTTACCAGAGAGGATCTTAACCTGC